TCAGCAGGAGGTGGGCAGGAGATATTCTGCTTGTGTTGTGCCCAGTAATTCTTGCACAACTAGATTATATATATACTAGCAGTAAAGCCCGTTGTGAAAGCAATACAATGGGATCTAGAAAGAGGCTCTGGGGCAGTGCTCTGGCTTTGGGCAAACAGTGTCAATTTGCTGTGGTGACCTCAGCAGGGTATAATGACAGAGTCCACTGTTTTCTCCAGAGGAACTGATCTCTGCTACCTGAAGAGCAGTTGTAATTGTGAGTGATCTGTAGCCCTCACCTGGAGATTGGCAGCAATTGTTACCCAGGACAAAATGGCTGGTTTGGAGGGTGGAGTCTATGGCATTCTACCTGTCTGAGGTCCCACCCCTCCTCAAACCTCACCCTCTTCAGGCTCCATCCCTCAAACCTCCAGGAATTTCCATCTGGAGTTGGCAACCCTATCAGGACTGGCCCCAATGTGTTTTCTCCCAAAGGCCAAAGTAGGTGACAGGACCAAGCTTAGTTGCCTACCAACAGGCACTGAGGGGAATGTAGGGTTGCCAGCTCTAAGGAGGGAAATACCTGGAGGTTTGGGGGGTGGATTCTGTAGAGGGCCGGCCGACGGAGGCCTCGGCCTTCTGTCGCCCGCCTTGCCCCCCCAATCTCGGCCCGGGCGACTGCGTCCCCCGCCAGCGGCCGCCCGACTCCAGACCCCCCCGCGGCCACTCCAGCCAGGCAACGGAGGCATCGGCCTTCCATCGCCTGCCTCGCCCCCACCCCCCCAATCTCGGCCGGGCGACGGAGGCATCGGCCTTCCGTCAACAGGCACTGAGGGGAATGTAGGGTTGCCAGCTCTAAGGAGGGAAATACCTGGAGGTTTGGGGGTGGATTCTGTAGAGGGCAGCATTGGGCGGGGGGGGGGCGGAAGGACTCAGCAGGTGTAATGTCATAGGGTCTACCCTCCAAAGCATCCATTTTCTCCAGGGGAACTGATCTCTGTCATCTGGAGATCAATTGTAACAGTGGGAGATCTCCAGGTCCCACCTGGAGATTGGCAACCCTAGGGGGAAGTCAGCTGCACAGCAGGGGGTTGAAGAGAATGGTTTGATGGCTGCTGGGCCAAGATTGGCAACAATAGTTCCCCAGGAGCCCCATCGTAAATGCACCAAACAATTCCTCAAGATTTTCCAAAACACTACTCTGTTTTGGGCTCCTGGGGAACTTTGAAGTAGCACCAAAGCTTTAAGATCTCTCCAGCTGTCACCTGGAGACTGGCAACAGCTTGTCTGGAGTGTGGGCAGTATGGCATTGTATCTGTCTGAGGTCCCCCTCTTCCTCCTCCTCCTCAGATTCCACCCTCAGCAGGCTTCATCCCTAAAATATCCTGGAAGTTTCCAACCTGGAGTTGGCAACCCTATCTGCCTGTCTGTCTTAAGTTTTACAACCACCACCCCCCCCACAGCCTCTGCCTAGGGAGCAGCTGACATCATTCTCCTCTCCCAACTGAAAATTCCAACTGCCTTGCGGGGGGGGGGGGAGTTTGAGGTGTGGAATGTAGTCCAATCAGCTTCCATATGTAAATGACCTTGGAACGCTGGGCGGGACTGCACAAAGCAGCCAATGAACCCAGCCAGTGTCTTCCGAGTGGCAGTTTTTTCGGCCTAACACTAAAGGAGTGCATTTTAGAATTCTGGCACCCAAAACCCTTTTATAATATAGGAGAGATATGGTGGGGGTGGGGGGACCAGCCCAAGTTACACAAGAACATAAGAACATAAGAGATGCCAATGTTGGATCAGGCCAAAGGCCCATTCAGTCCAACACTCCGTATCACACAGTGGCCAGAAATACCAGTGCCATCAGAAGGTCCACCAGTGGGGCCAGGACATTAGAAGCCCTCCCACTGTTGACCCCCCCCCCCCAAGCACCAAGATGACAGAGCATCACTTGCCCCAGAGTCCCTATCTATACCTTGTGGCTAATAGCCACTGATGGACCTCTGCTCCATATGCTTATCTAATTCCCTTTTGAAGCCGTCCATGCTTGTAGCCGCCAAGCTACAAGTTATCACAAAAAAGCCAGTGGATAAAACACATATATAAATTCATGCACATTTGGTTCATAAATAGAATATATGACTAATTTTTTGGTTTTATGCAGTACACCAATTGAGACATACACAATTTAAAAAAAAAAATAGAAAGGCAGATGGGGTATGTATATTAATAATAATCTCTATAATGTCATCACTGGACATGTACATAAGAAATGGATATGAAGTGTTTTCATAGGATTGTATCATTTTTTATTTATTTATTTTATTTATTTAGGCATTTTTACCCCGCCCTCCCTGCGAGCGGGCTCAGGGCGGCTTACAGGGGCAAAAGCCCACACTTAAAATCCAGTAAAACAGTAAAATCTTAAGAATACAATAATAACAATAATAACAATAAGAACAGTAATAAAGTGCTTTCAGACAACAAGATGGTCGTGAGCGGTTTTGATGGTAGTGATGGTATCTTCAAATCAGCCCCACTGGGGTACTGCTGTCCAGTGGATCATAGAGTGATCCTTTAGAGTTCCAGTATCAGATAGTTGTAGAACTGAATTCTAGTCTTTGATGGCTGGAAGAAATGTAATGGCAAAGGGCAGAACAGTGGCTATTGAGAAGTCTGGAGCATCTTCCTCGCACAAATCTCTTGATGAGCTGAGTAAGTCTGGACTGCAAGACCCAAGTATATTTAAGCAGACTATGAATTCAAATTTATGCTTGGCCAAGGAAGTTCAGTGTTTGGCCAAGTCAGTAGCCTCAGCTTCTTTCATATCAAGGCGATAAACACAATGAATACTGTAAATGCTTTCCATGTTAACCCATGTAAATAGCTGTTCATGCCATGGCTCTTATCTGAATGAAGGCCCGCACTGCAGCTATTTGACTTTAAAGAATGTTGGAAAGAGCTGATTATGGATGTCCCGGGATGCTGTCCTGTCGGTCCTTCGGCTACTGATTTCTGTTCTTTCTTGGTTCTTGCTAAATTATGCTGTTAGACACATCCACTCATTGTGATTGCTCTAACTTGGACCCTATAAACAGACGATACCTGGAATCTCAACAGCTGAGTTTGTTTCTTCCAGTTAAATATATATAGAAATTATCAATATGACAACAGCCCCAGAGAGAAGAAAACCTATGAGGTAAACATGTGAACAAAACGAGTGCTTAGTTCTAAATTTACTAAAGGCCCCAGCCTGGGGCTCCTGTCACTCTGCTCAGCACCTGTTGACTTCATGTCTCTATAGTGGATGCTTTGTGCTTTAGAACAGCCCTTCACTGCTGACAAGTGAAAGGCATTTCTATGTGGGAAGAATAAGTACTAAAGGGCAGGAAATTGCTCTAGAATTCAGAGGCATTTCTAAAGGGTTGGTGGGCTTTTCTTTCTTTCTTTTTGCAACAGGCAGAAGTATATGTGTGAAACGAGGTTCAAAAGAATAAATGTTAATGATGGAAACAACTGACCTCAGAGAAATCGTGTCTTATCTCACTGCACAGTGCTGTGTGTATCACACATGAGACTTCTTTAAATATAAAATAGCGAAATAGAAAAGGCATGGGGCGGGGAAATGGAATGAGTGTGCTTTTTGTCCTAATCTCTCTCCGACACATATTTTATTTTAGAAATAAATTTCTACAGCCGTTTGTGATTCGTTGCTGTTCTCTTAAATTCTGTTCCATTAAGCAACGGACATCTGTGCCCCGAGCAAAAGTCTAACAAACTGAGAAATTTAGAAACAGCTTGTAGTCTGAAACGTTTCTAAAAATGCATGCTTCTTAGAGCTGATGTGAGGAGGAGGGCAGTCTTAGCCATTGAGGTTGGAAACACTGGCTATGGCTGTTCATGACCATTGTCAGCGTAAGAGGTTAAAGAACAGCCCCCCTCCCCCACACGATAAATAATGCATTCCATTTGGCACATTCCCTGTCATAATGAACTGACAATTAGACTTGCACTGGGTTCTTTCTGGACTTTTGAAGCATGCCTAATAGTCTAAAGGAAGAGATAATGATAGTTCAGAGATTATGGGAATGAGTGGCTGCAGAAAATTATTTGAATGCTATTCCACAATTTTGTATAAAGATGATGTTAATTTTGGTCTCTCAAATAGTCATTAGCTGTCTTTGGACTTTTCCAGTACTTTTCAAAGGGCTTAGACTGGAGTAAATCTGCCTAGGAGTTATACCTCGAAGTCCACTGAAATCAGTGGCATTAGAAAAGTATCATTCTGTTTAAGATCTCATCATTAGAATGGTTTATATTTCTTGCACAATAGAAGTTAACAAGTGGAGACCCGCAAGAAACTTGCGGAATGGTTATCCTATTCCTCACACCTTTGCTTCCTCCTGTCTCCCTCTACCTCTCTCACACTCTTTCTCCCTT